CTCACTGCACCCTGGTGCCTCTAGGAAGTTCCTTTACACGCTGTATCCAAGAGAAAGGTAACACTTCCCCCTTCCACTCCTTTCTCTGTAGATCCATATGGCAACAAGGCAAAAAGGCAAAGATCAACGTTGGCTTGGCAAAAGCTCATCCAGGACTGTGGTAAGGAAAATATTTGCCTTTTTTTCCTTGTTGAGTGAACTTAAATTTAGATGGAGCTGTTTCGTATGAGAGCAAACATTGGAGTGGACTCACCCTTTCTTCCATCACAGGATCTAACGCAACAGAGAGGCCCAAAGTAACTCCATTCCCTGTTGTCACTCCTGAAGGGAAGATGATTAAAAAAGGTAGGTTTTTGTTTACAATCTGACAGTGGTTTGGAACAAACAGTGCCTTCCTCTTTCTTTGCTTGAAATTCTAATCTCTGGAGGGTTTATTCCTGTAGGATGCTGATACTTTTGACTATACAAACATAAACCCATCAGGTCTTTATCACCCTCAGTGTGGGCCGTAGAGGGGTGAGGTGGACAGCTCTCTGCTGCTGTCCAGAAATCTGGGGGCTACCCTGGAGAGCAGCTAAGCAATTGTGAGAGTGGAAACGCACATACAGCCTTACAGAGTGTTTCCTTGCAATGTGTTTTCTTTGCTTTTCACCATTTGTAATTTAAAAAAAAAAACCTAAACCCCGGCATTCTCTCCGTAGAACCAAACCTGTTCTCATCCTCGCTGCTGATGCCCGGGTTGGGATCCCTGGCCAGCTCTGGTCAGATGTTCCCCGGCTGCAGCCAGCTGGCCCAGGTGGGCCCCGGGAAGCAGGACGGGCTGTCCCCGTGCTGGCTGCACAACTCCTCCTCCCCGGCCAGCGGCCTGCTGGGCACACACCCGCCCAACAGCTTCTCTGCGGATGCCCCTCAGCCACCTCACGGCAGCAGCTCCCTCCCGGCCTTCCATGACCCTCTGAACTGGCCCGACGAGAAGGATTCGGCCTTCTACCGGAATTACAGCAGCACCAACGGGCTGGCAGCGCCGACGGGCGCGGACCTGCCCGGCGTTGCCGGCGGCAGCGCCGTGCCCGCCGCCCATCCCGGCGGCGCCGCCTCCGGCATCACCAGCATGGACACCGACGACATGAACTGCACCAGCATCAACTTCGACAAGTTCAGCGTGGTGCTCAACTCGGGCGCTCCCAGGCAGCAGCTGCAGCTGGGCCCGCCCGGGCCGGCCCCGGGAAGCGGCGCCGCGGGATTCGCTTCCCAGCCCGGCTTGGCCGACCCCGTTTACGCCTTCCTAGAGCAGGAGGTTCTGGGCGAGCCGAGACTCTCCACCGCCCACCAGAGCGGCCTGGCGGACCCCCAGTACTACGACGGCGACGGCGTCCACGCCGACGAGCTCTACCAGTCCTTCCCCTTCGATAACATCCTACAAAGCTACAACCCCTGAGGCAGGGGGAGCAGCTTCCCAGGGGCCGCTTCCCAAAGGTGCCGCCGCGCGGAGAGGAGTCATCCACCCTTCTGGAGTTCCCGCTTTCTCTCTCAGAATGTTGCTGTGCGAGTTTTCACGATGGAACTTAAGGTTATTTAAGTTACCATAAGAGTTAAGTTATTTAAGCCCATAGGAAGGGGGGAGGTGGGGGCAGGGTTTGGGGTTCTGTACGTTAAAAGTACCTTGTAGACGAATTTTGGCGCTTTTGTTGGGAAAGGGAACTGGTAACACTTAAAGCTTCCTTGCCTTTGGGGACTGTAAAAGCTGGTGTCTTCAGAAGGGTTAAAATTTCAAATACTTCACAGGGTTAAAGTTCTTTCAAAGCAGCCTTTTTTGCTACAGAAATTCAGTTTTTTGATAGGACAGAAATTGGGAAAACAAACCTGCACATGAGCACTCTAGTTCAGTCTCATCAACAGATATTAAAGTGCAACTCAGCCTACTTGAAAGGTTTAGGTTTCTTACCCCCTTTCTATAAATACTTCTCTTCTAAAACGAGTACATGTACTGATTTTCCACACTCCATTTGCTTTGAAGGCAAATTTACCGGTGAAATTTTTTTTTTAATGACTATGTCATTGTTAGATGTTTTTAAAAAGACCGGAAGGTTTGAATTTTTAAATAGTCCAGCTCTGTTGTAAAGGAAATCACTGCACAGGAGAAGGAACAGAAAGTCTGCACTTCATCCAGAGTGCAGTTTTACAAGCCAAGCCCTGTTGCTTTAGGGACGAAGCTGTCGTTGCTCTGTGTGTGTGAGTGTAGCTGTGATGCTTGTGGCGTTTTGAACGGCAGGAATCTCTTGAGCCGAAGTATCTACTTGCTTTTTTCCTCAGGTATCCCAAGCAGTTTCCTGCTATGCAAGTGACTGCTCCAAGGAAGGCTCAGATCCTGCCTCCCCAGCACCAGCCCCTCCCAGGAGGGCAAAGCCAGGGGCAGCCCTTGGGCAGCCTGGTCTCTTATTAACGACTTTTTAAAGCCATTTCAGTCAGTACCAATTAAAAAAACACTCCTCTGTCCTCTGGATCAGGAACCAGAACTTCCTCCCTCGCACCTGATTCCCGGTGTCCCCTCTTAGCCTGAGCCAGGAGCTGTTCCAGGACTCCAGCTGGGGGTAGCTGGCTGGGTAAGACGCTCTGGGCCTTGGCTACTGTATTATACTGGTATTTTTTTAAAGAAACAACACAGCAGGAGATGTCTGAGTATTTCTTAGGTGATACACCTGTTCTATAGGGCAGATAATGCTTGAGGGTCTGAATTGTTACCGTCGGGTGACATAAAACCAGACCATGAAAGCAGCAATAAAAAAAGAACACTTGGGTATAAAAGAACGCCCCCCAAATCTAAAAAGCCACTTAGAGACATAGAGTTGGATACGAGGAAGGAGCTCCAGAACCCCTCAGTGGTTTATAGGATTCCTTCCCTGCATTCCCTTGTGCTGGGAGCTCTCCACCCCCACTGCACAGGTGACAGTCACACTGGAGGATGTGTGAAGTTTGAGAAGTTGCCTTCCCAAAAAGCCATGAATTGACTCTCCCCGTTTTAAAACAGTTTTTCCTCACAGCTCCTCTGCAGTCTTGAGCAATAGAAAGACCAAAGAAATACACAGAAAGTTTGAAATGTTGTTTATTCAGTTCTTTTTTTTTTTTTTTGAAGTTCTCAGTTTTAAGTATATTAAATGTAAACATTTTACTCACTTCATAGAAAGCTCTTTATAGTACAATTTGTTTTTACTGTATAATTAAATATTTTCAAAGTTCTGTTTTCCTTTGTAAACGAGTTGGTTTGGTAATTAAAAAAAACTGGTTATACCAAGCGCTCAGCTTCTGCAACCTCCTCAGCTTTGTGACATCCCTCACCACGGGCAAGGCAGGGAAAAGGGACAAGGTAGGTTATCATTTGCTTGTTCTGGGGCTTTTTTGGGGATATTTTCTGCTCCCAGTTACTGCTGGCCACTGCAGAACCTCAAGCAATGGGAGGTTTTGTGGCAGAGCCATTGAGTTTTTGGGCAGAGGGGATGAGGGGACAGATGCTTTGGGTGTGCTGCTGGTTCAGCTTCCTCCGGGCAAAACCCAAATGGAAGGGGGATTAGAGGTGGCCACTTGGAGAAATGCAAGATGAAATCTTGCTCTGGCAGAGCATCGGTTTGAACGCTCACAAGGTGGTGTTTTACTGGTAAAAATAAGGGGAAGGCCAAAGTCCACCCTGGATATTATTATTGCTGCAATATTCCCCCCCGTGACAGTTCCAAGGGTTGTCACCAACTGGCCTTGGAGCAGAGTCCAAACCCCCAGGTCTCATCTGGGGGTCTCCTGTTTGGATGTGATCCCTGACCCCGGAGAGCTGCAGGGCTTTGCATCAGAGGCTTCACATTCATCAGGATTGGGAATTTTTGGAGGGCCCCTCTGTGTCCTCAGCACACTGAGGGCAGTGTTTATAGCCTGGTTCATCTGCACTGGGATTTGGGATGTGACCCCCACGTGCAGCAGGAGCTGCAGATGGAAGTGCCTTGGGTGTCCTTGACCTACAGCAGGAGCAGCCCTTTCCCCTTCCCCGCTTTGGCTCCATTCCCCCCTTGGAGCAGCTCTTCTCAGGCCTGTTGGGCCAAAATGCACAGTCTTGTTTACATTTTTTGTTCCCCGTAGTTTATGGAATTTATAAATCATATTTCAGCTCACTCTGAGTTTCAAGAAATCACAGTTGTGAGACTGAAATTCTCCGTTTGTTTGTTTTCTGAATTCAGTTTCTTTAGTTTTCCATCATTCATGACACTTCCTGTCTGGCTACAGATTATTATCTGAGAACTACTCCTGGAATCTGTTGCTCATATTGGCTCTAAGATTAAAACCAAAACCAATATTGCTGTCTGAATCATGTCCCTATTATTTTTGTGTTAGAAAAAAACCAGGAGCTTCTGAATTACTTAAATTGCAGAGGGCTAGGAAAGCACAGCAACACAGACAAGATCTGACAGCCCAGCACAGGCAAGTGCATCATTTTTCAAGATGATTTTTTTTTTTTTTAGGAGCTCTTTAAAAATGTATTTATTAATAGCTTTAGAACCTCTGGCTCAAGTTCTGATGCAGCTGTTCTGGGCTGAGGTCCTGGCACCACTGAACTAAGGGAAGACATCCCAGTCGTCCTCCCCGGCCCCAAACAGTGGTTGGTCTTGGCAAATATTATGCTCTTTATTTCCAAAATGTTAATTAATGAAGAGCCCTTAAATTCCAAACCTTAATTTCATGCTGATAGTTTAACTCTCTTCTGCACCTCAGGGAAGCATCTCCCCTCATGGATTAACACGATGCAGGTATAGAAGTGACTCTTCCTAAAGATGTAGGTGGTGCTTAGTAGGAAGCATTTAAAATAAGCAAATTAAAACCCTCAGATCTTCCCTATCCCAGGCAAGTTTAGGTCTTCCAGGCACCCATCCAAGGTGAGGTGTTAGAAAAATTGTATTATGCTGCTAAATCAAAGCTTTTTATCCCCGTCTCTGGATTCCGACATCCCCAGGTAGGTTTTGTGTCCGCCTGCCCTTTTTTTGATTCTTGGTATTCCTGTTTTTCTTCAGATCCCCGTCATGCACCACTGCCAGGAGTTCCCAATCTTTTTATATGTGGTGACTCACTGGGGAATTCCTGCTCCTGGAGAGGACTGTGGCCAGGCTGGAGAGCTCAGGAGGCCCCAACTGTTGTTTCTAGGAAGCGCCGCCGATGTTTTTAAGTGAGAAAAACTTGGTTTTAAGTGCAAAGGTTTCCTCTGAAAAATGCTTTTGCCCTTTGTGAGACAAATTTGCCCATCCCTAAAACTAACCCTGACCAAAAAGTAGCCAGCAGGGAGACTTGCTCCAGCACTATCCCCTGGCTTTTGGGATTTCCTGCAGGAACAGTGCTCAGAAAGAGTTGGGATTTCAGGTAACTCAGTGCTACCTGCCCCCAGACAAGGAAAGCTGTAGCATCCAATATAAAAAGAGTTTTAAAAGAAATCTGGCTTGAGGGAGGGTTACCTTGAACTATAATTTATCAGGAACGCCCTGGCTTCCCAAAATCCTTTTATGCACAGAAAGAAATTATTGTAAGGCCAGAGACTGAACCAACACTACCTGGTCCAGAGTGTTTAAAGTAGAACTGAAAGTCAGGGTATCCTTTGGCAGATCAACATGATCCAAGTGCTCCATGAAAACCCTTTGCACCCGGGCTGTAACACTGCACAGTGTTTGGTCAGGAGCTGCTGCTTCCTCATCCCAGCTTGGGAACTCAGTTATCCAGGGTCGGGGGCCAGTCGACGTCGACAGACTAGGAAAAGGGAGGGAAAAGAGAGGCAGAATCACCAGAGTTGATATTTTACACGCACCCAAAGAGTCACAACTCCTTTTGCAGCATCCCTGGATGTTGGGCTGCATTGCCAGAAGTGTTTGTTAGGAGTGTGAAATGGCTCCAGCTTCTCCCCGTCCTGCGGCGGGGCCGGCACGGTGCGAACACAAACAACATGTTGGTTGATGGCACACAAATACTCAGGTACGGGGTGGTGCAGACAAGGCTCGAGTAGAAAACCATCACCTGTCGCTAACTCTGAGCAAGGATGGTTAGATAAGCTGATAAGTAGTGTTATAAATTCGTGATGTGTCCTCCTGCCCCTCCCTGACATCAGTGTGGGACAAACCACCATTCCTGCATTTATATTCATTTTTCTATGAACTGTGCTACGCTTGGGGCAATTCCACGGAAAGCATCTCACAGACGCCACCACCTTAGTCATTTCCAGGAAGGGTAAATAGCAAACAACTTACTTCCACGTCCAGCTCCAGAATGTCAGCAGTTCTGTTCAGGAGGGACCCAATATTGGGCTTTGTCCTTCCGAAGTCCCCGTGCACAAATTCTTTAATGTAGCTGGAAACACTGGCTAAGGAGGGGTGGATTTTACAGCAAAGAAAGCAAAAGGGGTGGGAAAAAAAAGGTGGGTTTTTTTTAACTCTTAAGCTAATTTTTAGTTAACATCCTGTTAAGCCCATACTCATCTTTAAAAGAGCTCCTAATTCCTGGCTTCTGACTCGAGTGCCAAAAACTGCACCACTGACCTTTATCTTCTGTTTGATTCCAAAGTGAGGGGTGACTTTACGGCAAAACTCTTGACTTGTGTAGCAGCAACCCCCAGTCTGCATGGGAGAGCATTAAATAGTGCAGAAAAGCTGTTTTTTTCTAAGGTGATGAGTTATCAGTTAAATTAAGAAAGTGTATTTTTAACCAGGATATTTTTATAGCTGTCACGTACACTCAAACTATCAGGGTGCTGGACTCGATGGTCCTGGATTCCAACCCGGAATATTCTGCGACCCTGGGAGTGGCCAGCACAAAACTCCAAACACACGGGTGCCATTTTGGAATGGGAACAGAGGCGCCATTTTGGAATGAAACAGGTGCCATTTTGGGATAGGAACAGAGGCGCCATTTTGGAATGGAAAACAGGAACCATTTTGGGATGGGAACAGAGGCGCCATTTTGGAATGAAACAGGCGCCATTTTGGAATGGGAGCAGGGGCGCCATTTTGGGATGGGAACAGAGACGCCATTTTGGAATGAAACAGGCACCATTTGGGGATGGGATCAGAGGCACCATTTTGGAGTGGAAACAGAGGCGCTATTTTGGAAGGGGAACAGAGGCGCCATTTTGGAATGAAAACCTCGGTGTGGAATCGTGGCATAATAAAAGCAAATCCTGCAGTTATACACAACTGCTGGGCAGCAGGGATCTCAAAACACCACAGGGATCAGAGTAGGAAACTTCCCATGATCTCAGCGACTCCAGTCAGGAGCTGTTTGGTGCCAGGGCAGGCAAGGATACGTCCCTGCTTGAGTCTTGAGGTGCAGGCGGAAATGGTGCTCGTCGATGTACTCGGAGCTCATGGTGTGGATGACCCGGCAGCGCACGGCCAGAGGCCGCCGGTGGAGAACACGGAGCGGTGTCTTCTGGTCCAGTTTTAACTCCTGTCACGAAAGAGAGTGAAATAGAGAGGAAGGAAACGTAACACACTGAACAGATTGTAGGAGTCACGAGTATTGTGAACCAATCATATCTTTTTGTCTTGAGTAATCTTGAGACAAGACTCATTTTTTATCAAGTTTATCAAAGGAGAAAGGACAGCCATCTCCGAGGCCTCGTGTGAACACCAACTAATGGAATCACAAATACAGAGGAATAACCTTGAAATCTCCATAGCCCTTTGCTGGAATGACTCCAGGATTTAGCAGCTCACTGAGAGCCTCAGGGCAAATCAGGAAAAAAAAAAAAATCCCACCCACAAAATGCTTTGTCTAAACTACAGCCAACCCCCAAGAAATAAAAGTTAGGGGAAAAAAACCTGATATGAGATTAGATCTCAGAACAATCTTTTCAAAAGTTTATTCCCCACTCCCTTTCCCAGAGGAGATGCAGCAGTTTGAAAGGCAACTTTTCAGGATTGAGGGAGGCTCCAGGAAAAGCCAACAGTTGTCTCCCTGAGCTGTGAGCACTTGCTTTGAGTGCCTGGGGAAGACCTGTAGGAAACGGTGCAGCACAACAGAAAATGAACCCAATTCTCCATCAGCCCAACAACTGGAGAAAGTTCTCATTCCACAGCGTGCTGAGCCTTCCTAAGGCCTCTCAGCACTCTCTGTCACAGGCACTTCCAACTTGGAATTGTTGAGAGCGGCTGTAGAGCAGAACAAAAGCTCTGCCACTTCTGCTTACACAAAACACTGTGCAAGGTAAAGGAAGGGGTGCAGGTAAATCACTTGCCCCTCACAGAGTTTCCTCCTCTCCCATCCACTAATTTTGATTATTTGGTCTCCTGGAAGGTGAACATCACACAAGGATTTGTTGGCCTGGCCAACAGCCAGCCAGCTGTCCTGCTTGGATGACTGTGGTGAGGGAAGGAAGGGGGGTATGGAAGTCCCTACAAGAGAAACCCTGACAAAAAAAAAAAAAAACAACATAAAGGAAGAGATATTACAGTATTTAAGAGTATTTAATTCTTCCCTAAGGCACCAGGACAGGTCCTATTTAAATCAGCAACAAGAGCTCCTGATACCTTGATATCATCCAGGAGCGCGATATCTTCCCTCTGGATTGCTCTGTCTGTCCATATTAAGGCACTGTAGGTCTTTGTCTTCTCCTCTTCACCTTCCTTCATACGACCAATTGCCTCTCTAAACAAGAGAAATTAATTACTCACTTAACACGAGCATAATTATCCCAGGCTGTGAGCAAGAAACACTTGCCCAAGTCCCAAAGTGTCGCTTTGAAATCCCTTGGCAGCACCGGGAAATACTGACCTGGTGACAAGCTGTAAATCTCGAACCTGGATTTTGTCTGAAGAGTTATTAATTGCCTGTGATATTTTAAAAGGAACCAGTTAGGACTGCTGGGTTGGAGAGGCAGCGAGTGCTTCCCGAGCTCTGTGAGGTGCAAATGATTTACCTGCTGAAGCCTCTTCATTTCCTCGGCGGTGAAGTGGATCCGACGAGGATTCACCAGCTCGATTGCAAAGGGCCTTCCTGGCAGCGGGCACAGCCACAAAACATAAAAACATGACTGTTGGAAATGAACACAGGAATTTACACAGGAAGGCTGGGAGGTGTGAAGCCTGGCTGCTGTTAGACAAACAGGGACAGGACTTGAGGGTTTAGGGATGTGGCATCAGATGGAAGGAGAAGAAACGAGGGACTTTTTTTTTTTCTTTTGGCCGCTAAAGCCCAGTATCGGCAGTGAGTGCAAATTAGGACTTCCCAGAAGACATCTTGTACAAGTCTGTGCTAATTAAAAAATAAAATAAGAAAAAAGTTAATTAGCTTATTTTCTGTCACCTACAGCAATGCCCAGGTGCGAGAGGATGTTAAATCCCTGCTCCCTCAGCTCAACATCTGTTGCCAGAGTTGTTCTCTCCGTGCTCGGGGCCAGGGACAATCCCCAGCACAAGCAATGCCAAGAGCCACAGCAATCAGACGGCAACTGAAACATGGAATTACTCCTTTTTACTTTTTCTTGCCCTCCTCCTTTGGCTGCAGCAGCTCCAGAGTACTGGAAAGCAGCTGACCTTTCCAAAGCACCCGAGCTGAAAAAGAAAATCAGGCTCCTCCACTCCCCACAGGGACAGCGAGGGAATAAAAAGGATCCAACAGCAAACAAGACAGGAATGAGTCTGACACAAACGGCTTAAAAGCAGGGACAGAATAAAATTAAATACTCCTAACCAGCTCTGCCTTTCCATGCAGCCAAGGCCACTGAGAAGGTGTTTGGTCTTTGGGAATAAATATATAAATATAAATATATAAATATCACTAAAATGTTTCTGAGATAAAATTTCAAAGCCTGCCTTAGCATTCAGCAAGATCTATTAGAGCAGCTTTCACAACCACTTAATTTCTGTGTTTCACGAGGGATCTTCCAAGCCTTACCATTTCCTAGTGTCCTCACATCCACATCTTCTCTTCCAGAGGAAGAAAAATTAAAGCCTGTAACAGATTTAAACAAGGCAGGCAAGATTTTTATTCTCCATTTTTAATACCCTCTGCAGCTTTAAAAGGTGAAAGCATGTCTTTCCTAAACCTGTTGGCACAAACACTCCAGGAACAAATCTGGGATATTCACAAGTTTCTTGATGAGCACTCCCAGTCCCTTGGCCTGAGTGAGATACTCCAAGCAGAGTAACACATCCACTGGGAGGAGAGGGGAGGAGAGGGAAGCAGCAAGGTGTTCCCCAAACTAATATTTAATGCCATTTTTCCTTGGGCTTTCTGTGTTTTTAATTCCACAAGCAACGGGCAGTGATTATTTCATCTGAAGAAATGAATCAAGGGAAGAGACACGAAGGGGTTGAAAGCCAGGCAGATGTTACAAAATGCTGGTGGCAAAAAAAAAAACCCTCCTTGCTACAAGTCATTTTATGAATCACCGACCCATCAGAAGGTTGGTTGGGCAAAAAACCCTACTGTGCATGAAACCCAACACATTTGCATCATCAGATGAACTGCAGAGCTACTTTAGCAGGATAAAAAGGGCTAATTACTCACAGATCACAGCTAAAAAAGAGTTTACAAGCTTTGACTTGGAAGGATAAGAGAGGGATAAAGAAATAACAGCTTTTTTCCCCTCACACCCTTGGATTAAGTGGGTAGGTACTAAGAAAAATCCTCTAAAAAATGTTCTAGTAGTGATGAAAAATAGGTCTGGTAAGAGATCTCCTAAATACTCACTGTCTGCTTTGAATTCAGCCATGAGATGCTCCGAAATCAGCTCTTCCACTGAAGATTCCAGCTTCCTCTCCCCATCAATAATCCAGGGGGTCTGAGGTAAATTCCTGGAATATTTGTTGTACCTTCCTGTAAAAAAAAAAAAAAAAAAGAGCTGTGTTAGCTGTAATCCCTCTAAACCAAGGGACAAAAGCTTTTAACACCTTCAACTTTCAGTGGAGCTTTGTGGAAATGACTTCACCGGCTCAAACTTGTTTTGTGGAAGAGCATTCCAGCAGCTCTTACGGAACGCTGCTGGATGCATCCAGGAGAATTCCAGTATCCAGGATCCCACCTCCAGGGATAACCCTCCTGTGTGGAGCAGTTCGGGTTCCAAGCCAAGTCCTGCCACTGTCTGAAGTGGCTTAAGGAGAGAAATCCAAACTGAAGTGCTTTGGCTCCCAAGGAAAACCATGTGAGGAGCAGAAAATCTCCAGGATAAACTATGAGGAATGTCAGGAAGGTAAAGAGATGAAATCATCCTTGGACTGATCTCATGGCACCTCCAGGACACAAGGGCTGCTACAACCAAAGAACAAGCCTGGATGGCCAACAGGAGCTTTTTTTTTTACGGACAGGTTTGGTAGGAAGTGAAAATATCCCCAAAAGCAAGGACATCGTTCACGTGACACCCTGACAAAGAGCTCAGAGCAGCTCTGGGCTTTACCCTGTGCCTCTGACACCTCAAGTTTATTTTTTCTGGGGGGGAGGGAGGGGGGAACTGTATCATATTTTCCTCTCTTGAACAATGTTTCCTTCCTGCATTTTGCCCAGCAGAAAAAGCCACACCAACAAATGGGGAAACTGAGTAAGGGTTTCACTGGGGCAAGGAACGAAAGGAGGTGACTCACCCAGCACAGGCAGCTTCTCACTGCTCAATTCTCCTTCCAGAAAATGGAAAAAAGGAGAATGAGATAAGAAGTTTAACTCTTGATCTGAACAAGAGGAGGTTTAAAAAAAAAAACACAGAAGGTGTTTCTCGGTTTGACAGCTCCTGAATCCTTAAAAAAAAAAAAAACCAGGTTGGGGTGGGAAGTGATCACTAAACACCGAAGGGAAGGTCAAGAGGGCAATGCTAACTCTGAAACTGTGCTTACTAATTAAGATCCTGCCTCATTTAATAACAAAATAACTGCTCTGTGCTCAATAAATCCCACTTTGGATTTATTTCTTTGAAAATTGAAAAAAAACCAAAAAATCCTTCCTGTTTTTTTTTGTTGTTGTTGGAGCAAGATAGAAACTGTAAATCACAAAGCCAATATTAAAAGACGTGCAGAAAGCAAACCCTCTTGCTCCTCATACAGATGGACTCTGATAAAACCATCCAACAAAGCAACCTAAAACAAAACAGTGTGTTTGGAAAAGGAAAAAAAGAAGTGAATTCTTGAATTCCCGAAAAGGTACATCTTGTTTAATCAGTAATTAAAAGTAAAAAAGGGGTATGTGTAGAACATCAACCACCCTGCCACTCACTTGTGCGTTTTTTTCATTTGCCATTTTCCTGCATTCAGGATATTTATCATCCTTTTAAACACAGTAGGTTAGACTTAAATTACAGGTCAGGGTTTTTTTTTAATCTGCTTGCACATGCTTAAATAAGTTGTTTATACACAGGCCCGGGAGAAGGGCAGATGCTCCTGCAGGCAGGTGATAAAGGGGGGATCTGTCATTCCCTTCCCCTGCCAAACCCACCCACTCTTGGATAGAGCTGGGTTGGTTTCTTTGCTCCTTACACTTAATTATAGGAATTAACAAACAGAAGAATCTCTGGCTCTCGTGGCAGTGCTCGAAAGTTCTGCTCGGGATGACACAAATAAATCCATCCCCTTACCAGCCACAAAAACTGCCCCGTTGTTGCACTGAATGTCCAGAGCATCACACAGGTTCTTTGGTGAACTTGGGGGACACGGAAAATGCCTGGATTAAAAAAAAAAAAAAAAAAAAAAAAAAAAAAAAAAAAAAAAAAAAAAAAAAAAAAAAAAAAAAAAAAAAAAAAAAAAAAAAAAAAAAAAAAAAAAAAAAAGAGTAAAAAAAATAGCAGTAATACCAAAAACATGATGGCACCTCACTGTGTCTTGCTTACCTTCCAAACTCTAAGGTTCAAAACAATCCTGAATTAAGAGATCATTTTAACCAGTGAACCATCAGAATATAAACAACCAAAAGTTCTTTTATAGACACCCTACCACTGCTTACCCACTGAGCATTTTCCTCCCCATCCTAATTCTATACAGAAGCACAGTACTAAGAACTGGTTTCAGTATAGACTTACTTGAGAAAATCCTCTTCTTTTATCTTCTCTAAGGCTTTCATAACTGCCATTCTGGTGAAAACAGACTGCACAGTGAAATAAAAAAATGAGTCAAGAGCTAAGAAAAGCAGAGAAAGGATATGCCTAAAGGGAGTGGAAAAAGCACTAACATGTACACAAGCGTTGGGTTTTTTCACTTGGGAGCCCAGATCCAAATTTGCAAACTGGTTTAAAAACAGAATCCTAAATCCATTACCAGAAACCTCAATCACCTTCTTTTTCAAGTGTTAAGCCTCAGCTTTTATCTCAGTGACAGCAGGCAGCCAGTTCTGGAAATAAGCCTGGTGAGGAAGTGTCCGGTACTGAAACTCCAAAGTTGATTTGGGTCCTCCCAAAAGCTTTCTCCTCACCAAGAGAAGAACCTTCCACCTGAAGAAGTCCAGGTTCCTCAGCCTCTCCTCCCAGTCTCCTGGCTGCTGCATTTCCAGTTTAATGGTGTCTTTTCTGCAAACTGGATTGGGGATTTGGGAAAAGAAATCAAAAATATTGGGGCATTGTTTGGGACGCTTCACACCTCTGCTCTAACACAGAGTTCCTGGGTGCCTTCAGGAACGCTGCTCTTTGTCCTTCTGAGCATAAATTAGAGATAATAGCACTTCTCTTCCTCGTGGAACAGATGAACTGGGGAATCCTTAAAGCAGCAGCAGGTTCAAATAACCCTCTAGAGCAGATGGCACAGAAACGTTCCCTCAGAACCCGGTTCTTACCCCACTTCTCCAGCTAACAAAGCCCTCGAAGCTTCAAGCACAGCTTCTTTGTGAGGACAAACTTCTGATGGCTCTTCAGTTTTGCTTTAGATTCCCCTCCATTTTGTTGCCTGGGTGGTTTGAACAGGCAGGCCCTGCTGGTTTGGCTCCTGCTGGGGGATTTCCCCCTTTTTCCAAGGGAAGCAATGCAGCGAGCGGTGAGTTATAACAATACAGCCCTTCCAAAAAAAAAGAACTTGCATTTATTGCTCAGGTGGAGTAGAGTCAGCAGAATTCCTGGCTTAGTTCCTGCCTCTGCCAAACGTTGGTAGACTCTTCTCCAGGAAGAATAAAAGGCCTTGCAGTGGCTTCTGATGGAAGTCACTCGTTCTCCCTCTGATCACATCAACTGCCCTACTTACACCGGCTTCTCTCCAGCTGCTGTTTTATCCCTCACCTTCTCTTTTCCATCAGTGATTGTGTGTGTGTGCCAACAAGTGGCAAGGTCCCTTTTTTTCCGTCCCCCTCTTCCAGAGGCAGAGGGATAAAACCATCCTGCCCATTTCATGGCTTTCAGTCACATCAGAGGACGTGGAAACTGCAGCCTGTTCATGTATTTTTCCCTTTTGGCTGCAGAGTCTCATCTTCACAATGTGCCTTATCTGAACTGTTTCACCCACAGAGAGCTGCAGGATCATCTTTTATGCTACTTTTAATGCATGACAATCAAATTCCTAGCTCTTAAAGGGAGGTATTTATGGAGACCATTCCTAAAATTACGGCCTGGAAGACACATAACCTGAAGAAAAGCAGCAAACTCTCAGTTTTCCTAAGGTGAGAAATGTGAATAAAGGAGACAACCTTATTTTCAGACAGTTTGAAAACCAGAGAGATTTCTGATGAAGGGAAACCAGACATTAAACACTGACTGAATACCCAGGGAAGTTCTTCATTGTAGCCACTGCTGTGAAATTCTGGATGTCAGACAAGAACTACAGAGAAGGTGAGATCTTACCTGTTTGTTCTTTGCTGGTTTGAAACAGTCTGGACAGGCTGTGGCTCTGAATACAGAAATGAAAATTAGCTGCTGCTCTTTAAGGCAAAGAAATAAACAGATAGGTTAACAAACACAGCATGGAAATGGGGTTTGTACCAATATCCAGGGGTCTCACTTCCAGGAGTTTAAAATTCCCTTAATCCTAACCCACAAATGGAGCAAGATGTGCATTGCTTGATCCAGACAGAATTCCTGGATAAGAGGGTGCAAGTCTCCTCTGCTCTGACCAACACAAACATGTGGAAAAGCACACACCAAGTTTAGCTTTCAGTCCTTTCCAATCTTTCTCAATGAAGTGCATGATAAATCTTTTAGTTCTGTGCAAGATTTGCAGAGATCTTGAAATCTGTGCTTGCTGCTCTTCCACACACAAACCACAGATTCAAATTGCCCCTTCTGGATGGGAAAATTCACTGCCCTGCACCAAATTCACTGCCCTGCACCAAATTCACTGTCCTGCAACAAAGCGACTGCCCTGCACCAAAAAAGTAACCCCAGGTGTTCAACACCATTTGTGTTTGGCCCCTTCAAAAGGAAACTCTCGGTTGTTTCACGAAAGTGAAAGCCAGGTCAGTGAAACACTTTTCTTGGTACTGCAGAGGAAGTTGCTGTTCCTATTAAAGGATTTCTATGTATGCAGGCAGGAGGATTTCTGGATTTCTATGTATGCAGCCAGAGATGTTTTCTAACCTACAACCCAATTTATTTATTTATTTAGCACCTCTGTAAGTATTTTGGACTCTGAGGAAGCAGCTCTTGCTGTTTCTGTACAAGTGGCTTCCCAGGCCAGTCTGCAACACGAATGCCCTCTTCCAAAATTCCAGGATCTCCAAATGTGAACTCACAAGAGCCAGTTCAATGTTCCATGAGCAACCAAGGGTCGTTCCAGCCCACCTACCCTACACACAGCTGGGTAGGAACAGCTTGAGACACGGGAAGCTGCAGGTGCCATACTTTGAAATCTCATCCAAAAGTGTCCTCCAGGTTGAGACAAAGTCCTGCTTTGCTGACACAAAACCCATGAGTGTCACTACTCCCGTGACAATTGCCAAATTTCCCATATTTACGCCTCAGATCATGCCCAGAGCCAGCCTCTCACAGTTACAGGATGCCTTTGACACTTCAGAAATGGCTCTGTAATTAAATTAATGTGCTGTTACTTCAGGAAAAGTGTCTCAAACCTTAATTGCCGTTTAAGTATCCTACAAAGAGAAGGCAAATAAAGGGATATTGTCGGGTCACGGGGAAGAAACCCGAGTAATTGGAATGTGGAATGGAGCTTCCTTACAGCTTTCACCTCTCCAGCTGTCCCACTAACACCAGCACCTTAAAGTGCTCCACGGAAGGACGAGCTGGAAATAGGAGTGGAGAGGTTTCAGAGGAAGGAACAGCACTGCAGAAAACAAGAACTGGTGGAGTAAAACTAAATAAATAAGAACCAAAGGGTGCAGGATCCAGAAACGCTTCAGTATTTCCAGGGTTGCAGGTGCCATTATTTAGCACTGTAGTTTGGGCCTACAGTAGAAGATGTAGAGGCTGCAAAAGGAATCTCAGGTGTCAAGAAATTAATTCGCTGTTCAACAGAGACATCTCTGCCAAACCTCTTTGTGTGCTCAGGTTTAAACTGCAGCAGGGGCTAGTTAACTGAGTTAAACTGAACTTTTCCAGGAAGCATCAGCAAACAGGAAGAGTTGAACCGAGTTATCCACAGTATACTACAGATTTTGAGAAATCAGATTAAATGGCAGCTCAGTTCACAGAAATATTTTGCTTCTTTGTGTACAGCAGATGCCCTGCAGGGCCAGGCCAAAATCTTCTGTTTGTTTTCATCAACCAGCTAAGTTGGATTAACACATTTCCAAGCCTTCCCTCCCACCTCTATCTCCTACAAGAGAATTGAATGTGAATTTTTTTTTTTAAATGACTTTGAAAAGGGCTGAAAACTGGACAACTTGTCTGAGCGTTCCTCTTCCAGTTCCAACCAAATATCTGGGTGATTTTGTTTATTGGCACCAGAGCACTGAATCAACCAGAGATGATGGAACTTCAAGCTCTGCAACTTTCTGTGGGCACGAGGAACTTTGGATGCAGGCTCCCGACCTAGTTTATAAACACCTGCATCTGCAACAAATCCAAACCAACGATGTTGCACAATGTTTAGATAAAGATCTTTTGTTATTTATATCAAACTTACAGGAAACGGCACTCCTCGTCGGTTTCTGGGTGAGCAAAGACCACGCTGACTTCAAACAAACTCTAAATTAAAAAAACACAACAAAACAAAGAAAATAAAGAAGGAGAAGGCGGTAATTGTGGGTTTTTTTAACAAACAGGGAGGATATTCTCAAGCACAAAAAAAAAAAAAAAAGGAAAACTGTAAAGAGAGAGAGAGACAAAAGAGATAATGACCCATTTATTCTCCATCTAAAGACTTCCAGACTGCTATTTCCCACAACAGCATTTGCATTTGTGAAGTCACCGAAGATTGTCTGAGAGCCCTTCCCAGCCAGGAGTGACCTGCACACCCTCACAGCGGGGCTGACTCAGGGACAGCCTGTGCTCCAAGCCTATTACGGTCACCAAACCCCACACACCCCCTGGGAGAGCCTGGAATAAAGATAAAAACCCTGAGGTCACCGCCGTAAAAACTTTGTCAGGGGCCTCCCGTGCAATGCCTGGCTGGCCTTGGGGCAGCGTGGATTGACAGCTGGCCCAGGAACTCCGGTGTAATCTCAGCTCTACCCCCAATTCCCTCCTTGGCCTTGGGCAAACAACACTCATTAGCTCTGTTATTCAGACCCCAGAGCGCCTCGAGGGGGCTCTTGAAAAGATTGCACGAATATTCAAGGGCCTCGCAGATAAAGAGCCCTGGAAAAGCAACTTTTATGGCACGGGGATGTCTGGAGTGGCTCAGGGCCCAAGTGTTGGGGAGCTTTCCTTAAGTTGGGAGGTGAGAAGTTTGTTTCTTCTTGGATCATCTTCAGAGGAAGGGGGGGATTTTTTTTTGATTCACTGAGACAAAAGGGATGCTTTCAATCAGCACTCCTGGGAAAAGGTAATCTGTAATTATTATGCAAGCAGACAAATCAACACAAAGTCTAAGGATATTGAGAATCCAGTGCTGTGGCCAGTGACAAATAAAACCTGCAGCCTGCCTTGTCCCCTCAGCAGGAATTTCAGCCCCATTTGCAGAAATTTTACATTCAGGATGAAGGTGCTTCTGAATTTGTCAGGCAGATCTCAGCCTGGTGTTCAGTCAGAAACATTTTAAGGATATTAGTCAGAATCTGCAAGTTGAAAACAGTTTGAAAAAACATTTCTACTCGGGGGTCTTGCAGGTGTTCCCTCAGGACTGACTTGGAGATCTCTGGTTAAAAGAATTTCCCCCCCTTTTTCTCCCTACAGTCATTATAAGAGCAATGCAACTTCATTCTCTGTTAATAAGGAAAAAGGATATATTTTTATTCCCCTCATACGTATAAGTGTATAAATATATATACACACACACACATACATTAAAAAAAAATAACAGAGAAAAAAGTAGGGTTTTTTATTTCTACAAGACCTTTCCATCAGCAGGAACACCCAACTCTTCTGCCAACTGGGGGTGGATAATCCACTTATAAGCTTCCTTCAGCTGGACAACGTCATCCTTTGCCAAGGAAAGGCCCAGATTCCTGAATCACAAAGAAATAATAACTTGCACAGGGGTCTGTCCAAGGTAGATACGTGACAGAGAACATTTCAAGAGGAATTTAAATAAAACACTTCTTAGTTGCTCATCATTTATACACAGAAATGGTGTCTGTAGAAAGAGTTCTTGTCAGCCAGCAAGAGGAAGGACAATAAAAAATGAATTAATAATTTTAAAAAATGAATAAAATGACAGCACCTCCCAATTCTGAACTTCATCACTCACCTCATCTCCTGCTTCACCCCCAGCCAAGCAGCTCTCTGGAGTCACAGCCATGCCCAGGGAGAAGGGAGAAAACAAAGAAAAGCCAGTGAAATGAAGGCTCAGAACTCCCAACAATCTGAGGAGGAAAACTGTTTTAAAAACTCAGGGCAAAAGGGAAGTATTGAGAATTTAATGTAGCTTTTGCTTCAGAAGTGGAAAGATGGAATAGGGGTTTGTTTTAGTTGTAAGACATCCCTTTGCTCATCACCTCAAATCCTTCCTGGCTTTAAGAAACACCAAAGATCAGGCTTCATTAAACACTTTGGAATTTGCTTTATATGTAGAAAAACATTGTATCTAGAAAACATTTATTCTATTTATAGCTAGATTTATATATATTTATTTCTATCTACATATATATAAATGTACATCTATATAAATAACAAATCACACAATATAGATACATAAAATATTATATATAATAAAATATAATAATAAACCAAATATTTATGTATTATATATTTATATATAGGTGGAAATCTAAATGATTTATATCTAGATATAAGTATAAAAATTTATATCTAGAAAAACATTATATCTTGAAAAAGAGTGACAGCTTAAGTAATTAGTTATCTATCATGCAGAGAAAATGCAAAAAAATTTATCTAAGTGAATGGTATGTGAAAACTGATTGATATATAAATTAATAAACCTCCAATTCAGTTATCATCCATTATAAAAACCATGAAATAAAAGACATAATTGGTCTTACAGGAATCACAAAGCCTTTCCCAGAGAGTTGCCCCCTTATTTAAAGCACTCCCCTGAGTTTAGGAGACAGGCTGAACATGGGAAAGCTGAGGGACTGGAGGAATAATTCCAGAAATCAGAGGGAGCTTTCAGTACAAACACTCCAGCTCACTAACAATTAATAAGAAAGCAATTAATAAAAAGAGAAAAACTCCCCTCAAAACTTCCTACAGTGAAGCACCAACAACGGAAGGAACCACACCATGGATCTCTTTTACACGCTGATACAGGAGCTCAATCAAAAAAAAAAGTCTCTTATCCTTCCTTTGCTACATCTAAAAGGACGAAGGAACCCTAAAAAGAGAAGCCTAAAAAAAGAGGAAAGGACGTGAACTCTGTTAGATCTGTGGCACACAAACCCACAGATCCAGTTGCACTGAGGGAACTGTGTTTGCTCCAGTGCAGTGATTCATCACCCAGCAGCTGCAGACAGGGTGAGTTAAGGCTGATTCACTTGCCGTGCATTGTCGTCTTGTTTGCATAAAAACCCAGATAAAATCACAAACAAAAATAGCTTCCCGTCGAAATTCCTTGAAGGTAACTCCAGAACTGGAGAATTTGAGGACCCCAGAGCAGGGCCTGGAAATGGGCAGTTTAAAAAGCTCTGCCACGCCTTGACTTAGAGCAGGTTTGGTGCTCAGTGGGGTGGCTCATCCCACTCCTTTTCCTTGTTTTCCAGGGGTACAGCTACAACACAGCCAAAACTCCTGCACGGGAGCAGCTCTGCTGAAATGAGACCACGGCTCAAATTTCATCTCCTCTTAACTTTAAAGTTGAAAGAGAATTAAAGGAATTCGTTTCCCTTTTCAATTAAGAGGAAACAATAGATGAGGGTACTTCGAGCACAGGGGCCAGAAGATCCCAAATTCCAAAACCCCTCCTCTGTGTCCCAGCTGCAGGTGAAGCAGGGGATCAGATCCCTCTACTTCCTAATTACTTGATGTTTGTGGAGTGGTTTGAAAATGCCAAATGCTCATTACAGAGCTCGAGCCTGCAGGGCAATGCTGAGCAGCAAATGCATCCCAGAAATGCAGGAGCTCGGGCACTGTGTTGATTCCAAGCTGCAGGATATCCTTGTGCTGCTGGCTGAGGGATCAGGGTGGCAACAGCTGAGATATCCACGTGCAATCCCAGCCCCGGCACTGTTCCACTTTATTAGGAAAGAGCTTGGAGATGGGGAATTCCAGGCTGAGGCACAGCCAGTCCTACGGGGAGCGATGGCTGCAGATGTTATTTGCATCCACGTCCTTGGAGCCAGCACCGGGCTGATGGATCAGGACTGAGGCAGCACACAGAGCTCAGTCACCCTTCTGAAGGGCACCACTCACTTCATATTCTAACAGAGCTGTCTGACACAAACCTGGGACTCCTGCATTTCTGATTTATTCCAGTCAAACATCCTGCCTGTGGAAAGAGGCTTCTGTGCATCCCAGACACAAATACTGGGCAAATGGAAATTTTATGCCCTGCTCCTCTCCAGCTCCTCCAGTACATTTCATACTTGGCAGGATGACAACTCTCATCACTAAATGAGCTGGAGGTAATATTAAAAGGGAGTTTCTGATTTTTTTGTTTTGTTAAGAAGGTGTTGGAGAAAATCTCTGTGTCACAAAGGGCAGTGGGAGGGAGGTTGTCTTTGGATGCCCTTTTAGGATAAGATTCCACATGTTCTTGCACAGAGCAGTTCCAAGAATTAAAAACAGGATTTAACATAAGACCTCTTTTCAACACAGAGCACTTAGAGATATTTTGATACTTGATTTTGATATTTTCAGGCATTTGGACATATTACATTGCTGCTTTTCTGTAACTGTAGAACAGGGACTGTTTTTACCAATTTTTTTTTTTACCAATTATTTTTAAGTGATAAACAGACAGGTGGTAAATAAACCCCCACGATTTTTAAAATTCTTCCTCCACCATCACCCTCTCCCACCCCTGCAGTGGGAGCACACAAAAAGCTGGATTAGCCCTTGGCAAGACCGAAGGGATGGAATGGAAGGGACAGCAGGAACTTCCCAATGCAAACCATCTCCCAGCCGAACCCAAACTGCTTCCAAAGGGAACAGATGTGGTTTGGGAGCTTCCCACTCACTCATTTCACTCCATCTCTTCATTCCTGGCCCCACAGCACAACTTTTATTCCCTTGGCTGTCCTGGCCTCTGTAGGAGTGAAGGTTTGCTTGAGCACAAGGACGGTGGGAGAACATCCCTCACCCGAACTGCAGTGCAACACCACCCTCTACCGAGGCTTCCTGGCAAACACCACGGGCCAGATGCACCAATTATGCTCAGCTGAAGATGAGGAGGAGAGAATCTGATGTTCAGGAAGACTTAGGAGTAGAATATATGATTGCTGTCACACTGGCATTTGCCCAAGATGCCAGAACTCCCGGCACAAATCACCCCTAAAAGTGTAGTAGGTTATTTAACAATCAAACTGTGTGGGATCAGAAGACACCTCACCACAGGTTTATATATAAATCCAAGACCATCTACATTTCTTTCTGCCATGTCTCCTGAAGTTTCTGTCACATCTTGCCACAGCATCTATCATAAAAATTTACATGTTATCCTTTAGAACACTATTTTTGCATCATTTCATAGCAGAAGGCAGGGGAACGTTGTAAAACATCTCACAACTAAGCAAGAATTGGTGCTTTATTTATTAAGCTATATTATGCCTAGTATTATCCCTCAATTAAAAAAAATTACCAGGGTATACACTCTTCCATATTATCACTGCCCACTGTAATTAAATGAATGAAATGTCAACAATTTGATCCAAATTGACAAAAAAATCAGTAGTTTTACAGCTTCAGATTTACAGATCTAGACTTCCAACAATGCCCAAGCCGGGTGATTACTAAAATGTGTGTTTTTCCATCATTTAAAACGCTGAACACTTCAAGTTCATCCTGAAATTCCTCCATGTGTATTCTGCACTACCAATTACCATTTCTTTCTGGAAAGGCATCAGCTGTGCAGTTCCACCTCTGGAAGATCCACAAAGCAGGGCTGGCATCCAAAGGGAACAACACACTGAGGGTTTGAACGAACTCCTTGCAGGATTTCAGCTGCAAAGTAACTCCTGGGCTAACTGGAAACCAAAGTGACTCAGACCCTTTGTTAATTAAAATAAAACTCACCCACAAGGAAGGGGAGAGCACATTTCACTTCCAGCACGTGGTTTTGGTTTTTTTTTTTAAACAGCAACAATTAAAAATCAAACTACCTCCAGCTAGTACAGTTCTAAGTTACTTCGTTTAATATGAGTTGAAGTTATTTAATTTACTTACCTCCCTAACAGAGAGCTGAGGAGGGAGTGACACAGAAAACACAAAACTAGTGAACTGGTAGTCAGCAGAATTCACTTTTTGGCACACCTGGAAGAGGAGGAGTTTAATATTAAACCACAGCAATGGCACTGAGTTGATATTCTTTACTCAGTCCCTGTTAATTCATGTTAACACACACTGAGATGCTGAACATCCAAACCAGAGTAATCACTAATCACTCAGTGAAATATAAGCTTTTTTGTTCTGTTAAGAAGAAAAATTACTAATCAACTGCATCCTTATGGCTATGAAATAACCCAAATTCACTATTTTAAAGCCAAGACCAATTGTATATTGAAATCTTTGTCCAACAATCTCCACCACAGCGACCAAAAGACAAGAATAGCTGACTCCAAGCACCTTCCTCTGTGGCAGTGATAAATTAATCCTAGGACAATAAAAATGTCTAAGATCCTGGGATAAGACAGGAACAAACAGCATTAATTCCTCGTGAAAAATCGTGTTTGTCACTGGAAATAAAGCAGGATTCCAAACACTCATCTACCACTTTAAAGTGGGCCAGTGAGAGCTGACAGCGAGATGCCAACACACGTGGAGAAGTCCTCCAAAATGTCAGTGATTCCAGGGAATGTTAGAGAGGAATTCTGGGCTTTCAAGGGGAAATCAGCATTTTTATATATAAAATAACTCGGTTTTGCAGTGACCTAACAAGGGCTGCCAGATCTCCCATTGCTACTGAGGAGAGGAACTCTGAAACAAGTGTTTCTGTACAGATACATATTCTGCCCACAAAAAAAGAAACATAAATGAAACAAAAAAGAAACGTAAAAACAAAAAAGACACAGAATGCACTGCAACAACACAAACCATACACTCTGCTCTCTGTTTAGACCCATTTTTAGACACATTCATGCTACTAAAGCAAATTCTTTCCTATTAAAACCCTGTTAAACATCTCAAATGCAAGTGAGGGTTTTCTGGCCGATATTTCAGTTTGTCACATGAGTAGTCTGAGTGCTCAGAGATTGATGTTTCTCCTAACTCTCATTTTCTCTATCACACCCACAATCTGTTGTATCACCAAAACACCTTCTTCCTCTGTGGCTCTCTAAATATTACTCCTTCATAAAGACAGGTTCATGCTGTATTAGAAACATGGAGTTAAGAGAACAGCAGCTGATGCCTCCTCGTTTTCCTGTCACATAAAAAAAGTGAAGACAGGTCACTATTTACACTGAGGTTTTCCTTGGAACCTCAAGTTACCCCCTAAATTCACGTAACCATGAATGAGTTAATCCTTTTCTTAGGGAAGTGTGCTCCCTGCAGTCATTCCATTGCACTTGCACTGCTGGTGTGTTTTTTTTTTTTTAAAGAAGTGACACTGTGACAAAGCCTGGGCAAAATCTGGTGCCAACACAGGTGTGCAAATACTGCCCAGGAGCAGGGTGGAGTGGGATGGTGCTACCCACCTACACTTCAAATACTCAAAATAGGTAAATGTTTTGATTTGTCTTCTGGTTTCTTCCTCTCAAAAGAAAGAGAAAACATACCTTTAAAAAAAAAAAAGAAAAAAAAAAAAAAAAAGAAAAATTGCCTGGGGTTTTAATCACCAGCTCTACACTGTGGGCCCCCAACAAGCTCCAGAAAAAGCACCCCAAAAGACTTAGAACAGGGATTTACCTTTTTAACGAAGTCAGGTTCGCAGAACTCCTGAAGAATTCCCAAGCACACGTTGCAAACCCTCCCAGCAGAGCTCTCCACCGCAGCGTTCCCGTCGGTCACCGCAGGAATCTGCGGGAGGGCTCCGTTGGGGTTCGGATCCTCAGGACCTTCGGCGGCGGCTTCGAGTCTGATCCTCTTGCAAGGGGGGTCAGCCACGTCCAAACAAACTGTGTCTTCTTCTCCTCGAGTCTTTTTCAAGAAGTCTTGTAAATCCTTCATCAAATCCTAACACAAACACAGGAATTGTGCTGTTGTTTGTATCTCTTCCACAAACACAATTCCATAAAGCAGTGCTGAGCATTCCGGTTGAGCCTGAGTTTACATAATTAACAGCTTGGAATTTATTCCCAAAGACACCTCGAAGGCACAGTTAAACAGCTCCAAGCTGCATTTGTCTCAAAATAGAAATTTCCAGAGAAACTGTTGCTCAACGGACTTATTTACCATCCAAGAAGGAAAACATTTTCCAGACCTGACTTGCAGAAACACATTTATTTTTGCCTCATTGTTACTCTATGAAAATAGACATTTAGTGCCTTCTGGTCATTTAGATAATTTAATTTCTCCAGCTCCATTAGCCCAGGAAGAGAGCTGCTTAGTACGGTATAAAAAGAAAATAAGACCAGATACAGGTTGGGGGTAAAATTAAATACACAGAGCAAGAACCTCCAAACTTCAAACTTAAGAAGGATGTGCTGGTGAGGAGGGAGAAGGAATTATGAGGCAAAAATGTTTGGAGCACTCCAGTGGAGTGGAAAGGACATGGCATTCATGCGCTCCCACTTTCCAAGCAGGAATACAAAGGCCAAACCTTGTCTGGATGTCTGTAAAGGGTCTGTGATCCCACACAGCAGAACCTCAAAATGCATCGTGGGCAGGTGCCAGCCTTGAGTAAGAGCTGAACAATTGGTCTGTCCTTCTCTGTTAGTGAAGACATGCTGGGGAATCCTAAAATTCAAAAAAGAAAAAACAAAAAACAAAAAGCTTAGAACAAACACAATTCGGCAATTTAGTTGTATTTAAAATAACTGTGGTGTTTGGGGTTTTTTGGTTGGTTTGTTTGTTTTTTTTCCTCTAGAGAACGTTTAGGATATGTGTGTGTTTGAAATCACAGGCACAAGAGAAGTGGAAGACCAACCCCAAACCACCACTGAACTGGGGGGCAAGCTTCTGTACTTCCAAGGGTTTTCCTAGAAAAACCTGAACTCAGGAGTTCTGACAAGGCTTTTGCCCAGTTCTATTTTGGATAAAATGCATAACATGACGTGTTAATCTTTACTGAATGAAGGAGGGCGGATCTAGGACATCTTAAGCCCAACCTAAAATGGAAATGCCTCCCAAAAATTAGCACAGACTAAAAAATCAGTGTTAAAACCACATGAAAGCCTCAAACAACATATGCCAGCCCCTTTTGCCACAAAAGCCCTAAAGGAAGGGGCTTTTCTATCCATTAGTCCCTGCAATTTTTAAAGGTTTCTTATTTCCCATCCCAACACAGGACTCATGTTTTTGTGAGAGATCTCATAATGCTTTTTTCCCCCCTCCCTAAAATAATTCTGGCTAATTCGGTTTCCCGCCATTCTTTGTGCCCTTTAGAACATGCCGATTTCTTTGGCCAAAATTTAATAATGGGATAGAACTCTCTGGGTTTTTTGAAAAATACGGAAAACGAGAGATTCCCAGTGAGGTGCTTACTGGGTAAAACAGCCAGTTCACATTTACGAGAGTTAAATATTGGCACTGTTTGACATATTAGGAAAAATGTGGTGATATAGGGGATGTTTTGGGACAAGAAGGAGGGGAAAGGAGGTGGAATCTGGGGGGGAGGTTCAGGACCCCCAGCACGGCCCAACATCTCAGGGCTGGGAGAGGGAGCTCAGCACCCTCAGAGCATTTCTGAGAGAAGGGAGCTCAGTACCCGTATTCCAGCCCGAGCCCTCAGGATTCTGGGGAGATCGGGACCCCCGATCCCTCAGGGCTGAGGGGACCCCATTACCCCTCACACTGAGGCGCCGCGCACGGGCTCAGACGGAGGGATGAGGACAAACGGGGCCCGCTCAACATATGGCCGACCCTCACGCAGGCTGGAGGCGCCGTTCCCATTCCCATCCCCATCCCTATCCTCATTCCCATTCCCATCCCATCCCCATCCCATTCCCGGTCCCTCTCCCCTCGCTCACCCCTCACTCACCCCTCGCTCCGCGGCCCGGCACAGGCTCGCTCAGCTGAGCTGCAGAACGCATCGCTCGGCCGGCGCGGCGGGGGCGCCGTGCCCGCGGGGCGGCTGGGCGAGCAGCTCGGCGCTCCCGCCTGACGCCTGGCAGCGGGCGGGCCCTACCGAGAAGGGCCGAGCGAGGCCGAAGCGGAGCCGAGCGGGCCCGAAGCGGAGCCGAAGCAGAGCCGAGCGCGCCCGAAGGGGAGGCGAGCGGGCGCGATGGCGGCGACGCCGCCGCCCAAGCCCTGGGAGTCCCGGCGCCTGGCGGGCACCGCGCCCGCCTTCCAGTGAGTGCGGGCGTCCCTGCCCGGGGGTCCCCGCCGCGGCGGGGACGGGTGTTCTCCCGCTCGGGGCGGCCGGGCCCGCTGCTCTGGGGCGGGCTCAAAGGTCGGGCCCGGCCGGGGTCGGGCGGCCCGGGGGGTCCCGCTCCGTGAGGGGGCTCCGGGGGGGTCCCGTTTGGGGAAGGTGAAGTTGTAGGTGTGGGCAGGAGTGCTCAGAGTGTCCGTTCCCAGGGGTTGTGTGGCTGTGCCAGCCCCGGGAGCTGAGTGTCACCCCGGGTCTCGGAAAAGATCGGTGCGTGTGACAGGCTGTGGGGTGAGGGAGCTCTCCCGGGAAATCCCGGCTGCTCCTGGAGAAGGATGGACACAAGGTGTCTGTGAGCTCCTTTTTTATCGGCAGGCAAGGAAAGCTCGCCCGGTGGCTGAAGATCCGTCTTGTTTTTCTTTTGCAATTAGGGCTGAAACTGGGCAAAAGGTTGGCCCAGCGCTGAACATTGCACAGACACTTCGCTGCGCTCCCTGCTTGCTGAGCGAGCAATTAAATGTTCGTTTTTCTCGCTGGGTTTATCTTCTCCGCTTTAAATAGCTTCAGGCACCTTCAAAGTGAGGTGTCCCAAGCTGACTGTTGAGCTGGGGACTGTAGGGTGACTTGCTGAGTTACGGTATCTCTCTTTGCTGTGATCATGACTTAGTTTTGCTCCCATTTTTAACTGGTAAATAGCAATTCCAACGTGGCAATTTTCCTTCTGCCTTTTTTTTTTTCCCCCTGTGAATTTAATGGACTACAGAAGTGGGAAGTCACGAGATGAGGCAGAAAACATGGGAAATAACCGAAATGTTTGACTTTTAGGGTGATAATATACGATTATTTTTTTGTCCAGAAGTTGGACAAAAAGCTGCTTGAGAGAATTCAAATGCGAGTCAAGTACTTGCAGAGTCTTATTATGATGAAATAACTTGAACTTATGAGCATACAAAGGAAAAAAAGTTTACTAAATTAAATATTAAGTGATGGACTCATAAGACCTTTTTCTGCCAACAGCATTAAATTCAATATCAATAATCATTAGTAGATTCGATCCCTTTACAATTTGCACAAAGGTAATGAGGTATTTTGGGCAGAGGGGGAAACTGGGAGGCCCAAAGCCCTCGCACAGGTTGTTGCATAATTGCTTGGATTCTCAGTTAGGTCATCCCACCCTTTAAGGGTGGATTCAAAGATGCTCTCAAACTTCTTCCTGCTGTATCATGGGTTTATTGTGGTGTTGGAAATAAAGTTTTTGGGGGGAGGGGGGGGAGTTCCTAAATATTCTTGGTGGGGTCCATGAGAGGCTTTGGTGTGCAGAAGAATGACCTGGGTGTTACAGCAGCAGGTTTGATGGATGTAGAAAGTGAATTTCTTGCAGGTGTAAATTAATAAATAGAGTTTTCAGTGTGTGCATCCCAGTCTCATGTTTACAGTGAGCATCTCATTGTGGGTTTTGTTCCACTGAAAGACCTGTATTTCCTGACGGGATTGTTAGCTCCCAACCAACGTTGTACAACGCGCTGAGTGTTTGGCTCCCAGCCTTCCCTCCCCCAGGGAACGCACCGTGGCATTTATGGAGTTAGCCAAGGACCCCGGGGAAATGAAAAATCTCAACTTTAGGTAGTTGATCTTGCTGGTTTGAATTTTTCTTTTTTTTTTTTAGATCTGCTGACTTGGGTGACAACATGCTGACCAGGCCCGGCCAACCCGCCGTGGCACGGATACCTCCCCCCATTTTACCGAGGCCGTCGCAGCAAACGGGAAGCGGCAGCTTGAGCACCTTCAGGCCGGCTTACAGCAGCTCCTTCTCTCCGGGCTATGGCTCGTATGGAACCTCTTTCTATGGAAGCTACAGCCCCTACAGCTACGGGTACGGCGGGCTGGGCTACAACCGCTTCTGTGCCGACGGCCTCCCCCCCAGCAGGTTCGTGCAGCAGGCCGAGGAGAGCAGCAGGGGGGCCTTCCAGTCCATCGAGAGCATCGTGCACGCCTTCGCCTCGGTCAGCATGATGATGGATGCCACCTTCTCGGCCGTCTACAACAGCTTCAGGGCCGTGCTGGACGTGGCCAACCACTTCTCCCGCCTCAAGGTCCACTTCACCAAGGTGTTTTCGGCTTTTGCTCTGGTCAGAACTATAAGGTACCTGTACCAACGGCTGCAGCGGCTGCTGGGGCTGAGGAGCAGCTCTGAGAACGAGGATTTGTGGGCTGAAAGTGAGGGCAAAGTGGCTCGTGTTGGCCTTGAAGACAAGATGGGAAACTCTGCCAAGTCCTGGCCCATCTTCCTGTTCTTTGCTGTCATAATGGGAGGGCCCTACCTGATTTGGAAGCTGCTTTCTACATACAGTGATGAAGAAACAGGTAAAGATGAGCTGCAGCACGAGAGTTCCTTGTTCCTTTCGCTGCTATGTGTGGTGATTAATCTACACAACAGTAATAGCAGTTAATAGATAACGGGGGCACAATGCTGAATTTTAGGCATGTGATACAAGTGACAGCCTGTTGTTGAGTTAGGATTGTATTTAAGCTTTGTGTGATTCCAAAATCATGATTCCATTCTATTAGGTGGGGTGTATTGCTTGGATTAACTCAACAAGTCATGCTTTGCTTGTTACTCCTGTCAGTTCTCTGCTGGAAAAGTTTTAGCGAGCAAGTGAAAGTGTTTTCTTCATTTTCCTTTTAAAAAGACACACCAAACTTTGTAATTCAAAGCAGATAAACTTTTAATGTGTGTTTGCAAACAGTGTCCAGTAACTGGGCTAGTGGAGAAGATGACCATGTAGTTGGAAGAGCAGAATATGATTTCAATGCTCTCTCAGAAGAAGAAATTTCTTTCCGTGCTGGTGACATGCTAAAATTAGCACCCAAAGGTAAACTTTTAATTTTTATTTTTTTCTAATGTATTTTTCTATTTATTTCTGTTTATTTTCTAATCATGATGAAGTTAAAGTGTTGAAAAGGCTGAAAATTAAAACTAAAAAACCAAAACCACCTTATTTGATTTCCCACACACACACACTAAGTTATTATTTGTGTTTTGTTCCATGTTGTTGAATTGTTTTGCAAGTTGATGCTTTTGCGTTTCCCCCTTCAGAACAACAACCCAAAATCCGTGGTTGGCTCCTGGCCAGTTACGATGGCCAAACAACGGGACTTGTGCCAGCTAATTACATCAAAATCCTGGGCAAAAGAAGAGGTAGGAGAACGGTGGACCTGGAAAAGATTGCTGAGCAGCGTCCAGCCTTCCCCAGCACACCTGGTAGAGGAGCCACTGCTGCTGTGACTTTAGAGGAGCAGGAAGCTGCTTTTGAAACTGTTTTTGCTGGAAGTAGTAAAGTTCCCGTGGCACCCGACTCCACTGGGGGCAGTGGAGAGAAACAGGAACTCTGATGCACTTTGATCCACAAAGCAGCTGATGAACTGTGCTTTCTTGATGCAACTTTAGGCTCTGTTGGAAAATCTGGTTTGTAGTGGAACGCTGATGGGGCTGCACCAGTGGTTGCTGCTGCTGACTGGTGAAGGGGTGGAGAAATGATTGCTCCAATCTGTAGTATTTATTTTTGACTCACCTGAGGCTGTACCTTAGTGATTCGATCCAACCACCTGGCAGCGACTCCTGAGATGTTGAGAAAAGGAGAGTCGAGGCATTTATTACAAAGCGAACAAAGGAAAACAACAGGGACTGCCCCTACTGAGGAGACAAACTATTGGTGAAATGAGGGATTAACACCCAGCCCCCATTAGAGTATTGGCTTGACAGGAGGCCTCTTCAGTGGATGTGCAAAGGGAAGATGGATTTCTGTGGAGTGTCCTCCAAAACTGCACACTGAGGGCCATACAACAGTAATTGGCACATTGTTTCCCTCTGGAAGGTGGGAGAATTGCAGCAGATTTAGGAGACCCAGTTGGATGCTTACAAGTTTTTAAGTTGCTTTCCATAAGTAGGGCTCTGTCATAAAGAGCTCAGCTTTTAGAAAAAAGGGGTTTGAGAGGAAAGGAGGAGAAACAGAGTTCACAGTGAGGCTTCACCAGTAGTTCTAACCAGTTCTGTTTTGTTCATTAAAAGGAATTGGAATTAAAGGTATTCTGCAGTCAGGCACTTGTTAGTTGTCACTCCCTTCTGTGGTAAATTAACTTGGCATCACTCGTGGCCATTTTGTGCTGTAGCCTGTTAGGTGCCCATCCATTGTCCACCACCTGCATCTCCACTTATTTCTGCCCTTTGTTGGGTTTATATGAATGTCAAAATACCTCTCCTGCCTTTCAGTGCAGTAGGAAGGCATTGATTTGGGGGAAGGTGAAAGGAATTGGAGCAGCAAAGAAAAAGTAACATTTCTTGCTCAACTGTCTCAGTGAAGGTCTTGAAGTTGGACAAACTTTCTGTGCTGCCTTTCAGGTGGTAAATTTTACATCTGCCCATAAAATTTGAGGGCTCCAGTTTATCAAAAGCCATAAAAATATTAAGACTGTTCAGAGTATTTAGTATTTTATTCATATCAGTGTTTGAGAATTCTGTCCTGAAATACCATTTTGGTTTTTTGGGTTTTTTTTTGGTTAAATGAAGCAAAGATAATTAAAACCTTTATCCTTGTAGTACGGATGTGTAACATGTTGAACTTCTGAAGGTCACATCAGTGGATTAAATAAGTTTGTCTTAATCATTAAAGCAGCTTTTTTATTTTAAAGGTTCTCAAAAGTGTAAAGTAGGGAACGTACCTTTGAGTAGTTCCAGTTTGA